CTCCAACACTTCGCGCAGCTTCATGTACCATTGCCTAGGGGCCTGCTTCAGCCCATAGAGGGCCTTTTTCAGCTTCCACACTCTGCCACTACCATCATCAAACCCCTCTGGCTGCGCCATAAAAATCTCCTCCTCAAGGATGCCGTTAAGGAATGCCGTTACGATGTCCATTTGCTTTACTACCCATCCTTTGATGGCGGCTCCCGCGAATAGGGTTCGCAGCGTCGTCGGCTTCACCACAGAGGCAAACAGCTCCTTGAAGTCCACCTTCTCCTTCTGCTGGTACCCCTTGGCTACAAGCCTAGACTTGTAGCGCTCGATCTTGCCGTCGGCATCCGACTTGATTTTGAAGAGCCACTTGGACGTTATCGCCGTACGCCCCTCCGGTAGCTCCACCAATTCAAACGTGTCATTCTCCTCGATGCTCTTCAGCTCACTCTCCATGGCCTTCTTCCACTCCTCAGCATCACTACTCTCCAAAGCCTCCTTGAGAGTTGCTGGTTCTCCCGGCATCTCCACCGGAGAGAAGAACGCGAAGGCACACTCCTCGTAGTCACTCTCCTCGTCGTCTCCGACCATCATTGCCGCTCCGGCCAGGGCTGTCTTGCCCTGCTTTCCCGGCGCATCATAGGTCAGCCTATTAGGGGGTTGAACTCTCCTCTTCCCCCTTCCTTCCTCCTCAGCTGCAGGGACTTGAAGGCCTTGGCGTTGCTGTGGTGTGGCTCGAATCCGTGGAGCACTCGTAGTACGGGAAGGGAGTGACGGTGCACGCTCGCTCACTTGCTGCACCTCCTCCTCTTCTTCCTCTGCATCATTGGCCTCCTCTCCCCCATTCACAAGGGAGGATTGCCTTGTGGTTGTGCTGCCGCTGCTCAGCTCCAAAGGCAGCTCCACATGCTCCAAACCGGAACTCTTCACCTCCCCAAACCGCACGCCTATCTTCGCCTCATTCTCCGCCTTCCAATCCTTGTACATGAAGTTCTCCATGAACTTGCAGTCCCTGCTCACCAAGAACTTCTTGGTGAATGGGTCCCAAAGAAGCCATCCCTTGCTGTTTTGAGCCATGCCCAAGTGCACGGCCCACACCGCCTTGGCACCAAGCTTGTTGTGCCGAAGATGCTTAGGCACGAGCGCCATGCACATGCACCCGAACACCCGAAGCATATCCACCTTTGGCTTCCTTCCTAGCCACTCCACATAGGGCACCCATTTGTCTGCTCCCACATGAGTCAAGGCTCTGTTCTTGGCCACACACGCGCTCCGCACCGCATCAGGCCAGAAATAGTCGGGTAGCCCGGCTTCAATGAGCAACCTGCGTGCCGCCTCCGTGATTGTGCGGTTCGCTCGCTCGGCGATGCCGTTCATTGCAGGGGTGTATGGCATGGTGAGGGAGTGCCGAATACCATTCTTCTTCAGCCACAACCCAAACTCCTTGCTCAGGAACTCTCCCCCTCGATCGGTGCGGATTGACTTGACTAGACGGTCTTGTTGCCGCTCCACCATCGGGAACCAATCCGTCTTCAACGTTTCAGCCACGTCGCTCTTCTTGGCCAGCACGTACACCCAAGTCATGCGGGTGTAGACGTCGACAATGGTGAGAAAATACTCAGCTCCAGCAGCTCCAAGCTTCAGGGGGCCCACCACGTCCATCACCACCTCATCAAGCGGTGCCTTTGCCGTTGCCTCCGAACTAGGGAACGGAAACCGGGTGAACTTGGCTTGAATGCACGTCGGGCAGCCAAGCACCTCATCGGGCTCCCCCTTCACACGTATGCCAGCAACCATCTCATTCTTCACTAGCTGCTGCAAGATGGGCAGGGCCACATGCCCCATGCGCCGATGCAAGGTGAGCCAATCACACTCCCCCGTAGCCGAAGTTGGATTGGAGAATGCCGCGCTCGCAATAGCGCCCCACATACTCTCTCCGTAGTCCTCCTCCGCTGCTGCCTCTGGGTTCTCCTCACCCTTTTGCTGCTCCTTGGTTGCTGCACCACTCTCCTTAGGTTCACTGAACTTGCTGGTCCCTCCAGGTTTGCTCTTCTTGAGCTCATTCTCCTTAGCGCGACCGTTCGCGCCATCGTCGCTACCGACCGCTCCATCCTTGGTGCTGATGCTTGCTGCCACTTGCCTCTCCTTAGGCATAGGGACCACTGGGATCTGCCACATCTCGTTGTAGACATCCCTGTCCTCATGAAGGTCCCAAAGAATTCGATCGCCAAGCCTTGCGGTGTAGGTCTTGGCTCCCTTCGAGTTCGTGTCCATGCCGGCCTTTGCCAACCGCCGCACGGAAATCAGGTTTGCAGCAAGGCTGGGCACCCAAAGCACGTTCTTGAGGCCCACCATCTTCCCATCAGCACCCTTGAACATGGCCTTGCCCATGCCTTTCACCTCTGCTCGCTGCCCCAAAGCCGATGTGACATGCTTCACCGGTGACGGCTCGAGTTCGGTGAGCAAGTCCGGGCGAGGTGTCATGCTATAGGTAGCGCCACTATCAATCACCCAATAGTCCAGGGGGTGTAGGGTCACCTTCCCCACAGCTGCTGGCTCCTCAAAGCCTTCATCCTTCTCTGGACCAGCCGGTACTTGCGTCGACACGAAGTAGAATAGACCCGGGTATCGATCGACGCTCGGGTCCTTGTCGTTGTCTCCGCTCTTCATGTTTGCAGCTCCGCCACCGCGACCGCCACGGCCTCCACGGCCTCGTCCTCTCCCTCCTCCTGCTCCTCTACCCTCTTGGCCTTGAGCAGGGGTCCAACCATCAGGGAGTTTGTAGCAGTCGCGCCACATGTGTCCGCTCTTGTGGCAATAGTGACACTCGCCGTCGAATCGGCCGCGACCGCGTCCGTAGCTCTTGTCGTCGCTGCCGTAACCGCCACTCCTGCGGCCTCCGCCGAAGTTGCTGCCACCAAACCTTCCTCCCCCTCGTCCTCTGCCTCTTCCTCGACCATATCCACGGCCGATGCTCGCTGCCCCAGCGCCATCCGCACTCGCCAACTCACGGCGGCGGAAATCCTCTTGAAGGATAGCTCGCTTCACGTCTTCAAGCGAGAGGCGGGGCAAGTCGCGATTAAGGTTGATGATGAGCGAGGACCATGACTCTGGGAGTAAGGCCAGCAACTTGGTCTTCTTTTGGAGCTCACTGTAGTTCAAATCAGCTCCCTCAAGCCGCGTCAACAAGTCGAAGAATTTCTGCACCCCTTCTTCAACCGCTTCGTCTTCTTCAATTCGAAGTGTCGCCATTTGCCGTTCCAACACCACCGCTACCGCCGCTGTTGCAGGAGCATGTACACCCTTGAGAGCAGCCCATGCCTTTGGTCCTTTCTCTGGTTCACGCTGGAATGGCTTGATGTGACGGATCCTGCTCCCCAACGCTTGCCCAAGTAAGAGATAGCCTTGTGCGCTCTTCCGCACCCACGGGCTCTTCTCCGGGTCGTTCTCGGGGCGCTTCTCCGTTCCTTCCATCACCTCCAGCAGGTCATAGTGGTCAAAGATGTTCTCCATCTTGAAGGACCATTCAGCAAAGTTGTCACCGTTGAACTTGTCAAGCCCAAACACCCTAGGCTCATCCCTAGGTGGGCCAAGACTTGGTTGCATGGGCGCCATGGCTGAATCACGGGGTTGGCCTTGAGCTTGAGCTTCTCCACTGCCACCAGCACCTCTGCCACCCCTTTCCTCAGGTCCAGACATTGTCGAAACTGCTCCAAGGGGCTCTGATACCACTTGTTATAGTCACAATAGGCTTGAATGTGCCTAAAACGAAAGATAGAGAGCACAGACGGATTTCTGCACAGCGGCTTCAAACGTTGATAGCGTTCTGCTCACAGCTGCAAATGACTTGATTCAAATTGGATCTGGAGCTTCTTCACGTCGTCTACAATTAGCAATTTAGATTGCACGATTTGATAAAGAATTGACGACACAGCGTCGGTTTGAACGAACGGTACTATGGCAGCCACTATAGTCTTAGAACACAAGATAGGAAGAGTTACGAGTTGGGAATGACTCCCAGCTCCTACAAACCCCAAGAGCCGAGGTACAGTGATGTGGAACAGTGCCACACTGTCCTCAACCACGAAGGGTCTCGAAACTACCCTTCACTAGGGCCTACACCAAGTGAAATGTTACACTACACAAAGTAATGTAACTATCTTCAATATCTTGAGGTGTACCCTTTTGGCAAGCTTCGAAATCACTTGAGGCTTGACACCAAGGCTCAGGCTCTTCATCACAAACTCATCCTTGAGTTCTTGATGGGTCTGCTGCACACACCTGCGACACGTCGAACGTTCGACACAGGACAAAATAGAAACCGCGCACGACAAAATAGAAACCGCGCGCGAGACACAAACGACCGCGTAACACGCGTCTAGCGATAACTCGCTATTGACTCGACACACACACTCGACATCATGACTCAACATTCACACACAATTATAAGCATGAAATATATATTATCCCATGCCCTCATACCGTTTCATACACACACACATTCACGCACACGGACAACAAGCCGAGTGCAAACCGTAGGGTTGCACCAACAATCTTCTACATATGATGTCATTGCACTAAGGTTTTCACCCGTATTAATATTCTACATATGATTTCGTTGCACTGCAGCTGGCTTTTCAACAACTCGATGTCGAATACAACCGAGGTCGCACAATCACTGGCGGACATTATGGAGCAGTGCAGAAAGACTTGAGAGATCGGCTTGAGGCTTTGATATTGGAGGAAGGAAGGGTAAGTTGCTGCTATAATGATGTCAAGCTCGACATACATGCAACGTTAATGTGTTTTAATGCTTGTGATTCGTTTACCTGTACACGCATTTGTCACAGATCAGCAAAGTTCAAGGACAGAGGCAAGTGGGTTCGGGACTGCAAGTGACCCACCTTTTCAGCAAGCTGCTGGACAGATGGGGGGACGTTATGGCGATACAGAACGAAGAGCCCATGCTCATTTTGGGGAAGGGCAAAACCCGGACGACAGAAATCAGAAGTATGCTCGAGTCAACTTGCCGCGCCTACTTCGACCTGCAGTCGGGAGCTCTACTCCCCCAAGTCCTGGATGTTGTGAGGACGATCCACGCTGCTCGCACGAAAGTGTTTAGAGAGGGCGTGACCGGAGACCTGACGGTGAGGGCGGTGTAGAGCAGAGCAGAGGAGGTTGAGGGGCATAGAGAGTTCCCCGCTGCAGACAGTGAAGCAACTACAAGGGCGGGGGAAGTACCATACTCCCGGCGACCTCGAGCGGTGGGTACGGTGCAGAGTGGTACGGGTTCATGGTTTGAACAACACCAGAGGATGCCGGATGAGGATGAGAGGGAGAAGGCGGCAATCGAGGATGCAGAGGCGTTTAGGATCGCGGAGGAGGAGGCGAGGAGGAAGGCAACAATTGAAGCGCAAAAGGTCGCGGACGAGGAGGCACGGAGGAAGGCGGCGGCAGAAGCGCAAAAGGTCGCGGACGAGGAGGAGAGGAAGAAAGCGGCGGCAGAAGCGCAGAAGATTGCGGAGGAGGAGGCAAGGAAGAAGGTGGAGGCAGAGGTGAAGAAGATCACCAAGGTAGAGGCGCAGAAGAGGGCGGAGGCAGAAGCGCAGAAGAAGGCGGAGGCAGAGGCGCAGAAGAAGGCGGAGGCAGAAGTGCAGAAGAAGGCGGAGGCAGAGGCGCAGCAGAAGGCGGCGGCAGAAGCACAGAAGAAGGAGGAGGCAGAAGCGCAAAAGAAGGCGGAGGCAGAGGCGCAACAGAAGGCGGCGGCAGAGGCGCAGCAAAAGGCAGAGGTAGAGGCGCAGAAGAAGGCGGCGGCAGAGGCACAGCAGAAGGTGGCGGCAGAGGCGCAGCAGAAGGCGGCGGCAGAGGCGCAGCAGAAGGCGGAGGCAAAAGCACAGAAGAAGGCGGAGGAGAGGAAGAAGGCGGAGGCAGAAGCGCAGAAGAAGGCGGAGGTAGATGCGCAGCAGAAGGCGGAGGCAGAGGCGCAGAAAAAGGCGGAGGAGAGAAAGAAGGCGGAGGCAGAAGCGCAGAGAGGACACCGACCGGCGGAAGAGGGATAGACTGCAAGAGGAGGAGCGACGGGAGAAGGAAGAGGGGAAGAGGAAGAAAGCAGAGGACACAGAGCGTCTGAAGAAGGAGCGCCGACAGAAAGAGGAAGCCAATAGGAAGGAAGCGGAGGCCGCTGAGAGACGGAAGAAGGAGAATTAGCAAGAGGAGGAGCGTCGGCAGAAGGAGATGAGAGATGGGTTGAAGGAGATGAAGGAGGTGATGAAGAAGGAGCTGAAGGCGGGAATGAAGGAAATTAGGGATGGGATGTTAACCCAGGTGGTAGAGAGGTTGACAGCGGTTCTGCGAGAGGACTCCGAGGCGCTGAAGAAGGCGAGGCAGGAGGAGGCGGAACGTCGGCAACAGGAGGAATCAAACAGAAAGGAAGCAGAGGACGTAGAGCGACAGAAGAAGAATACACAGCAGGACAAGGACCATCGGAAGGAGAAGGAGACGGCGAGGAAGGAAGCAGAGGTGACGGAGCGGCAGAAGAAGAAGAAACAGCTGGACGACGCGGCAGCATAAGGAGATGGAGGAGGGCGTGAAGGAGATGAAGGAGGTGGTTGCGGAGATAACAACTACAACGGGAGCTAGACTACGGGCTAGGCACGGGTGCTCGTGTGATCTCTGTGTTCATTAGTCCTTAGTCGTTTTCCTAGTGCACACACTACTTGCTAGTTCACGGGGCAAATTGGCAAGAGTTTCACTAGAGAAAGTTGACAAGAATGGTACAATGAAGTTGGCAAGGCAAGACTACATCAGAGCTAGCATTCAGGTCGGTCGACTGCCAGCGCAGCATGGTCGACCGCGTTCCAGCACGACTTGGTCGACCGTGCTCCAGCAGTGCAAAGTCGATGGCGTGCCAACGCTGCAGGTCTACGGCGTGCCAGCGTAGCTCCCGTAGTACAGCATCGCACCAGCTTTGCAGGCGCTCGTAGATGATTGGCGTGCCGAGCCTTGTCACCTGCACAGCGCACACACCAAGTCAACCTGGCGCTGACGACTGCATCTGATAGGCCACGTCGACCTCGGGATACCACCACCGAGGTCGGACTCGCCAACTTCGCCTGGGCGACCGTCGCACTCCTCCGCAAAACCTCGTCACCCAGGTAACCTGGTCGACCGGGCAACCACGCCGACCAGCTGCTCCTGCATGTGCCTGTCGACCTCCCAAGTCGTCGACCACCCCAAGTTGACCTCACCAGGTCGACCACGCCCCTGGTCGACCAGCTCCAGGTCGACGTCACTCCTGGTCGACCAGCTCCACGTCGACCAGCGCAGTTGTCAGCCGACCTCCCAAGTCGGCTGCCCCATAGTGGCGTCACCAAGTTGACGCCCTCCGCAGGTCGACTTCCCAGGTCGACCTCCCCAAAGTCGGCGCCACCCTGAAGTCGGCACCCATGCAGTGGCCCCCGTGCAGGTCGACCTCCTCGTCAACCAGCTCGCCCACTGCTGCAAGTCGGCTGCTCCCCTTACACCCGACCATGAAGTCGGCTCCGCCCAAGCGAGGACGGGGCCAACACACAACTCCCGTTGACACTCCCCTGCCGCATTCACGCTTGGGCCCCCAGCCCACACGGCAGTACTCCTCGGAGAATAGCCCGTCGACGTGCACCCAACACACAGCACGTTGTCCACCGCACCAACCATGCAAGAGGGCATGGCACCTACTGCTGCACGTCGTCGTCGCCATCGCCCATGTCGGCCAAGCGCACCTGGCCGATTGCGACGGAGCACCGGTTGAAGGCCGGACAGTGCAAAGCCTTCGTCACGAAGTCAGCCGGCTGCTCGGTGGTCGGGATGTACCTCAGGGAGAAGTTCCCGCGCCTCACCATGTGCTGCAGCCAAGCCTGTCGCCGCTCCATGTGCTTGAGGTTGCCCGTCAACCCCATGCCCTCGGCGACTGTGATGGCCGACTTGTTGTCCACTCGGAGGACAGTCGACTTCCCGGCATCCAGCTGCCAGAACTCTGCAAGGAGGAAGCGAAGTCGGCGTCCCTCCTTGCTGGCTTCGCTCGCCGCCACGTACTCCGACTCGGTCGACGACAACGTCGCGCACTTGATGCGCTGGCTCGACCAGGAGACTGCGGCCCCTTCGTAGACAAATAGATAGCCGCCCGTGCTCGTCCTGTTTTGCTCGTCACCGGCGTCGTCGGCGTCCACGTAGCCGACCAGCTCCACTGACTCAGGTCCACCGCCGGACTCCAGGGCGGTGTCACGCGTGTTGGCGAGGTAGGCGAGACAGCGGTCGACCTCGCGCCAGTGCTGGTCGCTCCTCACCGTAAGGCTGCTCCCCAGCTTGCTCCAGGCGAAGGCGATATCCGGCCTCGTCGTCGTTGCCACGAACTGCAGCGAGCCGACCTTCTGCCGGTACTCCTCCTCCGGGAATTCCTGCCCCTCCTCGTCGTCGAAGGTGAGCTCAGCGTAGGCGTCGACCGATATTGGCGTCTTCGGGGTGCGCCTGGTTTGCTCCTCGTCGATGAAGCGCCTACGCAGCTTGTCGGCATAGCCCTGCTGGTGCAGCCACAGCTTCCCCGCCGACCTGTCGCGGACGATCTCCAGCCCGAGGTACTTCTGCACCAGCGAGATCTCCCGCAGCTCGAAGGCAGCCTCCAGCAGCTCCTTCAGCTCCGTCAGCATCGCGGGGCTGCTGCTGGCGGCGAGCAGGTCGTCGACGTAGACCAGCACCCCAGCAGGCCTCTCCGTCGTCGCCGACCTTGAAGTACAGAGCCTCGTCGACCTGGCTCTTCTTCCACCCGGCGCCGACCAGCACGTCCTTGAGCGTCAAGTACCACAGCAGCGGCGACTCCTTCAGCCCGTACATGCTCTTCAGCAGCTTGCACACCCGGCCGGTTCCGTCGTTGAAGTAGTCCGGCTGGGACATGTAGTGCACCCTGTCGAGCTTGCTCTGCAGGAAGGCATTCTTCATGTCGAGCTGCATCATGTTGAGGTTGAGGACGGCGACGATGCTGAGGAAGATCCTCAGCGTCACGTAGCTGCCCACCGGCACGAACGTCTCGTCGTAGTCGGCGCCATACACCAGGGTGAAGCCCTTCACGACCAGTCTCGCCTTCTCGCGCTCGACGGTGTCGTCGACGTGGTACTTCGTTGTCAGCACCCACCGGTTCTTCATGATGTTCACCCCCGGCGGGCGTTCGACCAGCTCCCACGTGCCCATGTTGATGAGGCTGCGGATCTCCTCCTCCATGGCGGCCTTCACCGCCGGGCCCTTCCAGCTCGCCAACGCCTCCTTCACTGTCATCGTCGAGATGTCCCAACGGTGTTCGGGGTCGGCATGCATGTCGGGGTCGAGCTCTGGAAACTCCTCATCCTCCTCAGCGTCGTCATACGCCAAGTCGTCGTCTTCCACGGCGTACACCGTGGTGAAGGCAGCGGGGACGAAGAAGTCGGGCGGCCTCCGAAGTCGACCTGACTTCAGGGGTTGGTGGACTTCTCCCCTTCGTCACCGGCTTCGCTGCCCTCATCGTCCTGCTGCACCTCGGTCGACTTCCTGGCCGAAGTCTCCCCTGTGATCGGCTCCCCTGCCGACTGCCCGGTTGCCGACTGCTCCGTGGTCGGCTTCAATGCTGCCTGCTCCCCTATCAACTGCTGCCCTGCTGCCTTCTTCGCCGACTTCACCCAAGTCGGCTGCTCCTCCTCGACCTGTACTCCCACGTCGGCTTGCCGCTCGGCACGTCGGCCACCGGCGATGCCCTTGGCCGGCGTCAAAGGCGACGTCCCACTACTCCCCTCATCGCCGGAGGCCGACATAGGAGTCAGCCCGTGCAGGCCGGCCACGAGGGGAGGGGCAGGGGTCGTAGGGGGAGGGGAAGGGGGACGGACGACCTCGACGTCCTCACCAGCAAGCTCACCGACCTCGGCGAGCTGAGGCAGCGTCGCCGTCGAGAAGTCGGACGGCGGGGTGATCGGCGTCCGTCCTGACACCGGCCCGTGCTCCGACTTCCACACCTCCAGCGACATGTCATCGTGAAACACCACGTCCGACGTGGTGACCACCCGGTTGGCGGCAATGTCGAGGAGTTCTCAGCCCTTACTCTCCTCCGACACGCCGAGGTGAAGGCCTCACCTGGCCTTCGGCTTCAGCTTCCCACCACGCTGCTGCTCGGGGACGAGGAACTGGGCCATGCAGCCCCACACTCGCGCCAGCGACAAGTCGGGCTTCTGTCTGGTCAGCAGCTGGTACGGTGTCGTCCCCGGTGGCGGCATCGACCTCTCAAGGCAGTTGCGGACCCAGACGGCCTGCCGCAGAGCGAGGTGCCACCAGTGATGCTGCACGTCTATGTGCAGCAGCATCGTCTGCACCGACTCCACCACCGTCCTCATCTCCCGCTCCGCCATGCCGTTCTGCTGCGGGGTGTACGGGCAGGTCAGGTCGTGGACGATCCCCTTGCCGTCAACGAAGTCGGTGAATTGCCTCCCAAGGATCTCCCCTCCTCGGTCTGAGCGCAGAATCAGCACCGACTTCTTCACCTACCTCTCCACCAACACCAGCCACTTCTGGAACTCCAGCAGCACATCCGACTTCTTGGCGACTGGCCGCACCCACACGTAGCGGGTCTTCCGGTCCTTCAGCAGCAGGAAGTACAAGCTGCCGTCCTTGGCAGCCACACGGAATGGCCCGCACACGTCGATGTGCACGACGGCCAGCACGACATCAGCGTCTGAGCCCTGGTCGGGGAAGGTGTGCCGCGCCAGCTTCCCGCCGACGCACGAGACACACGGTGAGTTGGCGCCCGATGCCGACTTGAGGTCCAGCCCAGTGGCGACCTCGTGTTTCGCCGAGCTCCGAATGGTGTCCATGCCAACGTGAGCAAGCCGCGCATGCAGCCTGTCCGGCGTCGCCTTCGTCGCCGACACGATCGCTCGTAGGGCCACGACTTCCTACGTGGGCGACGTCGGCCTCGTTGAGCAAGGACGCAGGTCGGTGCAGAGGACACGCCCGTAGTACGTTGCCCGACCGAGCACCCCTCCCGCTGCCGAGACGAGCAGCATCC